GAACAGCCTACGAACGTGTCTCCACAATCACCAACTTTCCGTTGCGTATTTGAGCTGTGAGTTTTGAATTATGAAGAGCCATCGTAAGTTTGTTCTTGATGTCGTTGACTGATTCCAACCGAACAGAACTTCGACCTGAAACACACAAAAACAAAACAGAACAAATGGCAGATAATAGTGTCGATTCAATTGAACCGAATACACCGCCGATGTTGAGAGCTACTTCTGAGTTTGTATTTGCACGAGGGTTGTCGTGAATCTTCGTCAATGTCGGTACTTGCTCCGACTCAACAACGCTAATTGATGGAGATGGTAACTTGGTCTCAAAAGATGATGATGGTGGTGATAATGAAACTAAGTTTTGAGTGGAGATTATGATGGTGTTTCGTGTGGGTTGGATTTGAAGAAGATGGAAGAGTGTGAACAACGAATCAATTTCACCTTTTTCTGAAAAAAGACGCCGCTTAGGGTTTTCTTAGGGATCGTGAACAGTATCATTCTTCCTCTCTTTTAAATGCAGCGAGCAACAAACCCTAACGGGCTACCGAACCAAACAATGGGCCTACCGCCCCTTCTCCATGTCCAATCTTATTACTTTTCTTTTCTTTTTTCTTTTATTTAGTTAAATGTTACAATTAAATAATTATTAACACTAAAAGAAATTAATTGTATTAATTAACCTAAATATATTAACATAATAACAATTAAGTAAATATCCAAATATAAAACAAACTAAAATTTACATTAAAAAAAAACAAAACAATAATTATTAAAAATGTTATTAGTAATACTTAAAAGAAAACAAGCTTTAAGAAAGTACTATCCACAAAAAATTAAGTCTAAGCCACGTGTCACCTTTTAATTGGTCAAAAAGATAAAGTTTTTTTTTTTGAAAAAAAATTCAACCAATTGCGAGCAGACACGTGTCTAAATGGCATGAAACGATAAATGCGATAATACTTACGAAAAGGGTAGGACAAATTTAGGGTATGACATGTAGCCCCGACGTTGAGATGCCGACAGACGGTGAAGATACGAAAGAAAAGAGGGCGCCAGCCGTAGCCAATCAAACACTCCCTGTTGAAAATCAGTGAAGGGCAGATGCAAACTTGCTTCCCGAAAAGTAAATTCATACATCCCTTAAAAGCCGAGCATATCCGATGGTTTGCTCGGGGTTTATACACCTTCCAGTTCAGAGGGGAACCCTCACAGCGGTCCTCGACCATGGCGTAGGCGTCAGACTCATCCACAAAAAAGCGGGAAGAAATACTCAGGGGCTCTTGCCCGACCCAATCCGCGACAGTCCATTTTTGCTCTTCGTCGGTTTGCGCTACTGGGGAATCAGACTCGTCATCAATATCAACGACCCCTCAATCCATGCAGCCATCTTTACTTGAAAAGTAGAGGAAAATGGTGAGTTCGACACTCCAAATCAAATCCACCCTTCGATCGCAGATCAAGTGAAAGGGCGAAGAGGTGGGCACCTCTTAGGGGAGGGCCTTCCCCGCATCGACAAGCGAGAAGCGGGTCCCCGAGACTTTCATCTAACGTCCCGGGGTATCCCTTCCCAGGTCCTCGAGACCTTCATCAGGTCCCCGAGGCACTCATCTTGTGACCTCGGGAACCTCATCCCAACTCCCCAGAGCCTTCATTATGCCCTCGAGTCACTCATCCTACGTCCCCGGGGGCTTCATCGGCGGTCCCCAGGAGGTTCATCTAGAACAATACTAATTCAAAGAAGTTCCAGCATATTCACCGAAAACTTCATAGTTTCCCAGGGACATTCATCAAGTCCACTGGAGAAACCGTCGGAAAATGGGAAAAAATAAGAGTAAAGCAACTGTGACTTACTTTGTACGGCGGTTCTGGAAGGACGAGACGGCGACGAACGTCTTGGAGCAGAGAGAGGAGGAGCGCGAAGAGGAAAGAGAGAACGTCTTGAACGGAAGAAGGGAAATGTAAGACTGAAACGAACTCAACCCTATTTATAAACCTATCACGGCACTCGAGGCATCCCTAGGCACTTGAGTGCCCATACCCCTAGCCGCCTTAGACATTAATTGCCTTGACACGTGGCATCACCAGACGCTTCACACCCATTCGTTTCCCCACCGTGCTTGGAGATCAAGCACATCCGCTTGCTTTCCACCTCCCCGACATACTATCTCTTCGAGTATCCTCCGCTCCTGGCCTCGTACACAACCCTCAATTCTATTCGTCGGACAAACTACCATCTTCCGAAATGCTCCTCGACACCCTGACCTGCCCTTAAGTCATTACTCCTCCACCTAGGAGCAACGACTTGGGGGGCTCCTGTTCTGGACTGGGCCGAGACCTGCCCCTCAGCCGGGCATACCCTACCCAATACTACGCTGATGAGGCCCAATCCTCCTCTGTCGGGCATGCACCTCAATAAGGCACCTTAGTCAGGCAGATCATTATCTTGTCGGGGAGAGCTCACACGCTTTCCCCACGTTCTCCACGTGTCCCCCACGTGGGGACACGTCATCAGACAATTACCCACTTCTGAAAGAGATGGTCAGTCTACCTTCCGAAGATCACAAGACAGTTGATCCAGGGCGAATACCATGTGCTGGTCTTCACTACGCCACGTAAGCCCTGACAGTTACTTGTGTTGGGTTTGACAATCCAGCCCAATGCAATATAACCGTTGGCCCTGCGCTGGGGGCACATTATAAATACCCTCTTTCACTAGAGGGTCAGATATTCTATTCTCTACACCTATTCTCTCTGTACTTGCTATTTCTGAAACTCCATTACTCACTTAAGCATCAGAGTACCTTGCAGGTGCACCCGCTCCTTCTCTACAACGCCAATGAATACAACAGCTCACGACGCGTGACAGACTACTGATTTCTTTTTGATCAGGTGAAATCAAAATTATATATTATTAAAGGTGAAAATATAATCGAAATCACATTTTTTTTAAAAAAGTTGTATTCATATAAGATTTTTTTAATAAAAATTTTGATATCTAAAAAAATTTAAAATAATAATTTAATAATAATATTCAAACTAAATTTTCATTTAAAACTTTTATTTTTTTAATAAATTTTTTATACAAAATTATATTATTCTATAAAAATTATTAAAGAAAAAAGAGAGTATGATAAAAAAGAATAAATAATTAAAAAAAAATTAATTCAAAAGTTAAAGTGATTATGATAAAAAAGAATAAATAAAAAACTTTAAAAAGATGTTATAATTAAAGACAAATGTAGTCCGCTTTTTATACGTGGATATTTATTTAAGAGAGAAAATCTTATTAAAAATATAAAGTCAAATTTATTGTATTTTCTCATTTAACAACTTAAGTAATTATGTTAAAAGTATTTTAATAATTAATAATCTATTGTTAATTTTGATTACTTTCTATTTTAAACGTTATAAACAAAACATTTTTTATGAGAGAGAGGTCAAGTATTAATTATAGAAGATTTTGAGTAAAGTGGGTACCAAACTACCGATACCATGATGTGATCGACGCACTTTAGCGCTTCAAATATTTTGATTTTTTAAAACTAATATTAAATTTTGTACTATTTTCTTTGATTGTGACATCACATTTGTTATGAAAAGGGCATTTATGGAAATCTACCGGCATAAATAAAAGAACCGTTTCATTGCAAATCGTATCAAACATTTATTCTCTTCTTCATACATTTATCTTGTAATAACATTTTTAATTTAATATATATTTTTTGAATAAATTACAATATTAGTAGTAGAATTTTGTTTGATTCAAAAAATCAATTATTCTATTTTAAATTTAAATAATTTTGATTTTTATATTTTAAATTTAAATAATTTCTGTTATTTTTTATAAAAAAATTGTTGAAAATTTTGTTTTTTAATTTATATTTTTATTTACAAAATTTAAGTTTATTTTTTATTAAATAGTTTAGTGGTCAAAATTTATTTTTAAAAAGAAAAAATTAAAATATCGCAAATTTAAACTCGTGTAATTGCATTTAATATCTTTACGCAACTATAAATTGAATTTATCTTATTCTCTTTTTGTAATATATATATATATATATATATATATATATATATATATATATATATATATATATATATATATATATATATATATATATATATATATATATATATATATATATAAATGAAAATGTTATTTTTATGCGAAAAATGTGAATGAATCTGAATCATTAGATTTTAAAATAAATGAAAAATGCTATTTTTTTTTCTCCTCCATTATTAAAATAAATGATAGAGGAGAGAGAAAAAAATAACACATAATCTTTATTATTTATTTTAAAGTCTAATAATTCAGATTCATTTTCATGTTATTATATAAAATTGATATTCTATATGATGAGTTATATATATATATATATATATATATATATATATATATATATATATATATATATATATATATATATATATATATATATATATATATATATATATATATATATATATATATATATATATATATATATATATATATATATATATATATATATATATATATATATATATATATATATATATATATATATATATGTGGAAGTATCACCTAAGTTTCATCTATGAAATTAAAAAAATTGACTTTAGAGTCAAAGGCCAAAATTGGTATTATGGTATATAGTGATAAAAAAAAAAAAGAAAAAGAAAAAAATGAAAAAAAAAATATTAGATTGCACCAATAGAACGCTATAAACTCTCACAACCGAAAATTACGCCATTGCTGCACCAAACTTTGCTGTTACACTTGCAGCTATGTTTCAAAAGTTTGATTTTTGTTAAAGGGCTTTTCATTTTAAGCTTCTCCTTGTTCTATCCACATTATCGTTATTCACTTCGTAACCATTGTTTATTCTGTGTGCACCTTTTTCTGCATTTGAAAGCTGTTGTAAACCGCGTTAAATTTGAGCTTTTGACGTGGTGGACTTGTCATTGGAGGTGGATCCAATTGCAAGCTCATTTTTTCATCAGATCTTTCTTACAATATGGTATTTACTTCTTGTAGTAGTTGTTTAGTCAATTTCAAGTCTTGTATTCCTTTTGCTGGAATTGAATTTTTTTTAGGAGAATGGGGATGTGATTTTTTCTTGTATTGATTATAATGAGGTTGTGGTGTTCATTACATTGACGCAAATGGAGTTCTTTTTGCTGTTTTCCTTGTGTCAATGATCTTATCTTCTATATAATACAATAGAAAACAGATTAGGGTCTATTTTTTTTATCTTAGGACTGATCAATGTTACAATTAGTAGTGGTTGTTTATTTTTATGAATGTTGCTCTTTCTTATAAGCTATTACTAGCTGACAAGGTAGGAATCCAATTTTTTATTTTTTTGATTAGTAGACAAACTGATCATAGCTACCACTGATACACACAATCCTGAGGGTATGCTTAAATTGGTGGAATGCCATGGAATGAAATGAAATGGAGTATTGTATGGATTTGTAAATAATGGATGGAGCGGAATGGAACGTGATGGAATCCATTCCATCCTATTCCATTCGATTCTACTGTTTTCATTTCCTCCAATTTGGGGTGTATGCAATGGAATGAACTAGTTTGTTCTGTTTTGTGCGGTTAAATTATTAAAAATACACAAACAATGGAATGGAATCTCTGTTCCATTCTGCTCCATTCCATTTCATCATGTTCCATTATGCCCTGCTCAGTTCTAGTCCATCTATCCGAATGTAGCCTGAGAGCTAGGGTTCGTACCTTAGTGTTGACGTCCAACCTAGTAATATCGGCTTTTGTCAGTTGAGTTAGGATTGCGGACAAGAATCCAATTATATAATCTTAGTGATTTTCATTTTAACAATAGTTTATATTGATATGCAGGTATTTCACTTCGAATTTTGTGAATAATTTTATCTGTCTTATGAATTTTCTGTTTTCAATTGGTTATTCAAATCTATTAGACTGGTTTTGAAATCTGATCATGTTGGATTGACATTACTGATCATAACTTCATAATTTTACCGCCATTATGTTGTTTGATTTAATTTTTTCAATGGCTTAAGTGTAGACAGCTTTTTTTTTTCTCTGTTCTTTAATTTGGTCCAAAGTTGACCCTTCCATTTTCCGGTGTTTTAATGAGCTTCCCCCAAGTTGCTTGATTGTGCATAAATTTCGGACTGTAGGCTGCTGCTTCTGCCAATCTTATAGTTGGGACCCATGTTTGGTTGGAGGATTCTGATGTAGCTTGGATAGATGGCGAAGTCTTGGAGATTAATGGAGAACAAATCAAAGTCCTTTGCACTTCTGGGAAGACGGTGAGTGCATTTTTGTAATATTTGCTAAAAGTTAATCTTGGCCTTCACAGATGCATTTTTTGTTTTGTTTTTTGAATTACTGTTTTTACACGAATGCTTTGATTTCTTTGAATCTTTGAAGGATAGCATAATGTAGATATGCACTTTCTTTTTTAACTCAGAATTTTGAACTTTCTGTTGCTTTAGAATTTGTTTATTTTGTCCCCATCATATGTCTGATTTGCAATATGCAGGTTGTTGTTAAAGCTTCCAGTATTTATCATAAAGATACCGAAGTTCCACCTTGTGGAGTGGATGATATGACAAAGCTCGCGTACCTGCATGAACCCGGGGTCCTAAATAATCTGAGATCAAGATACGAAATCAATGAGATTTATGTACGCATTTTGGTTCCCAATGCTCCTTAGGCGGTGCCTTTTCTGTGATTTTTCATATTTTCATTCATGCTGTGTTAACTTGTTCAATATCAATGGTCTGCTTCCAGACTTACACTGGGAATATATTGATTGCTGTGAACCCTTTCATAAGGCTTCCTCATTTATATGATAGCCATATGATGGCACAATACAGAGGAGCAGCATTTGGTGAGTTAAGTCCACATCCCTTTGCTGTTGCCGATGCAGCATATAGGTAATTTTCATATATGTCCTGTAATTAGAGCATACTGTTAGTTTATAAGGTTTTGACTATATATAAGTTATGTGTATTTAGGCTCATGATAAATGATGGAATCAACCAGTCAATATTGGTGAGTGGTGAAAGTGGTGCTGGTAAAACAGAAAGTACTAAGTTACTCATGCGATATCTTGCTTACATGGGAGGGAGAGCGTCTGTTGCTGAAGGTAGAACCGTCGAGCAAAAAGTCCTCGAGGTGAGAGAATTATATCTTTACAAATTTAGTTTGGCAAGCTGATTTCATTTGCATAAACTGTTTATTTTGTTAAATTTCAATCAGTATTTAAATTGCTTTCAATCTTCACAAACTAAAGTAGACCTTTTTTTCATCCTTTCTTCCTTGATTTACAGTCAAATCCTGTCCTAGAAGCTTTTGGCAATGCAAAGACTGTGAGGAACAATAATTCAAGGTGAAAAATGATAAGTATTCTGGTTGTAGCTATAGTGCAAATGTTTATGCCTTACCATCTTATTTGCTTTATTTTTTCTCACTTGTGACTTCTGCAGTCGGTTTGGTAAGTTCGTGGAGATTCAGTTTAATAAAAAAGGAAGAATATCAGGCGCTGCTATCAGAACTTATCTTCTGGAAAAATCACGTGTTTGCCAAGTGTCAGATCCTGAGAGGAATTATCATTGTTTCTACATGCTCTGTGCTGCACCTCAAGAGGTAACAAGATTCTTTTGTTTTTTATATTGATTTGTGTTTAGGCTGGGAATTTGGTCCATAAAATTAAAATGCAGTTACTTACCAGTAGAAAAAACTGTCTGCAAATGGACCTGTAGAATGTTTGGAAATTCTTTATTGGAAAGTTCATGATTGGCATTTTGGGATTTTGCGCTTTAATTTTCCGGACCTCTTTTTTTTGTGTTTTTTTTTTTACAGGATGTTAAGAAGTACAAATTAGGGCATCCAAGAACGTTTCATTATCTGAATCAATCAAATTGCTATGAATTGAAAGAGGTTGATGAATCTAAAGAATATAGCGCTTTAAGAAACGCAATGGATGTTGTTGGAATAGGTTCTGAGGAACAGGTATTTTATTTGGAGTTTCTCTGGTTTCATGATTTTTTTTTTCAAGTATGGTCTATAACTCAGTTCTTTGTTTTTCCATTTCTTCCATGTCTCTCTAGAATGCAATATTTCAAGTTGTTGCTGCAATTTTGCATCTTGGGAACATTGAATTTGTAAAAGGGGAGGAGATAGATTCATCTATGCCCAAAGATGATAAATCCCGGTTCCACCTGCAGACTGCAGCTGAGCTTTTTATGTGAGCAAACATTGAACATTTGCACCATTTTAAATTTTACATTTTATATTGTTTCCACCTTGACTAAAAAACTTTATTCAGGTGCGATGCAAAGGCACTTGAAGATTCTCTTTGCAAACGTGTACTTGTTACCCGTGATGAAACAGTTACAAGATGGCTGGATCCAGAAGCTGCTGCACAAAGTCGAGATGCGTTGGCTAAGATTGTATACACAAGATTGTTTGACTGGTAAGTCTGTGAGCAGATTAGTCAGATATACTTTTTTGAACCTTGGTTAGAGATGCGTTCGCTCCCAAGTTTCGGTATCATATCTTAAATTTTCTGTCATTCTTTTGCAGGTTGGTTGATACAATAAATAATTCCATCGGCCAAGATCCTGAGTCAAAATCCTTAATTGGTGTGCTGGATATTTATGGTTTTGAGAGTTTCAAGACTAACAGGTATGTAACTAGTACACATTTTATTGTGTAATTAGCACGGAACATTTTCTTCAAATCAACAATTGCTCCAATAAACTTGCGTATTGTTATAAACCCCTTTGCCAGTTTGGTTTCCTGTTCAACTGCATTGTTAAAGAGTCCCCATATCGGACAATATATAGCCTGAACATGTGCTTATAAGTGGGGGCAATCCTCACCTTACAAGCCGGTTTTGTAGCCACACATTCTTAAGATACATTATTATGAAATGACATTCTTTTACCCTGATTTTGTATATTAACCCTGTTTGTCACATGTACTCTGCAGTTTTGAGCAATTTTGTATTAATTTGACCAATGAAAAGCTTCAGCAGCATTTTAATCAGGTTTTTTTTAATTTTTTTTTATGGAAGATATATATTTTTCCCTTATAATTGCTTGTGTATTTGAATCAGACAATAACGTCACCTTTTTGTAACTCAATATGCTGTTTTTTCCGTCAAATATTTTGTTCTACAGCATGTTTTCAAAATGGAGCAAGAAGAATACAAAAAAGAAGAAATTGATTGGAGTTACATTGAATTTGTGGATAATCAAGATATTCTGGATCTGATTGAAAAGGTTTTTGTTTCTAACTCAGCAATGCTTAAGCTGACCGGTCTTTATATCTCGTTGCATGATTTTTATTTAAGATATTCATTCCTTCTAAGGAGAAATTCTTGCATGTAAAGTCAACTTTTTTGCTTGTGACTTAAAATGGACTCCCATGGAAAGTCAACTTCAGAGCTTATTTGTTTGAGAAAACATTTTTACTTTCACTACCACTTTGTTTTCTGATTTAATAAATTTATATAAGGAACTGAAGGAAAATTCTCAAGCTAAAAAGGGCACAGCAAATCATTTTATTTTTTTAGTATATTCTATCATTTTAACATTCAAATGAAGGAAGATTTTCGGAAAATCACAGTTGATGGGGAAAGCTGTTTTGAATATTTACTCTCAAATCAAATGAGAGGCATAAAAAGGAAAAAATATTTTTGTTTACAGGTTAAAAGAATGAACACTTGAATGTGAACTTTTATCCCCTTAAGGACTATGTCTGATTACCTTGATATGATAATTTACTAGTTGAGTGTACATACGTTAACCCTTCTCTCCCTCCCCTAAAAACATAGTTGAGTTAGGCACGCCTATTATTACTCATTAATGAATATATTATTTATCATTTGGAATATTTTTAACTTTTGAATTGGCTTGCTTCATTTTCAGAAACCTGGTGGCATTATTTCACTTTTGGATGAAGCTTGGTACACATTTATACTGATAGCCCATATTTATTCGTTTTAATAATTCCTATGGATGCTAAGTTAATTAGTTATATGTGTGTTATCCAGTATGTTTCCTAGATCAACACATGAAACATTTTCCCAAAAGCTGTATCAGACCTTCAAAGGCCATAAAAGGTTTAGCAAGCCCAAATTATCACCTAGTGACTTCACAATATGCCATTATGCTGGTGATGTAAGTTGGTAAAATTGTAATTTTAGTTCAGAAGTATAATAAATAGGATACATAATATGACATAATGCATGTCAAGATTGCTTGATGTGATCCGTGTATTCCTTTTTGTAGGTCACTTATCAAACTGAGTTTTTCCTTGACAAGAACAAAGATTATGTTGTTGCAGAACACCAGGCACTTCTTAATGCTTCCAAATGCTCCTTTGTATCGGGCTTGTTCCCCCCTTCACCTGTGGAAACTTCTAAACAATCAAAGTTCTCTTCAATAGGTTCCGGATTTAAGGTGTTTTTATTTATTTAAAAGTACAACTAATATATCTTTCTTCCTTAATCTTTGGGATTGTTAAAACTCTTCATATGTCTTGCACTGCAGCTACAATTACAATCTTTACTTGAAACTCTAAGTTCCAGTGAGCCACACTACATTCGATGTGTGAAACCTAATAATCTTCTTAAGCCGGCAATTTTTGAGAATAAAAATGTTTTGCAGCAACTGCGCTGTGGGGTAAGATGCTATAATTTGTATCCTGTTTGTTTTACCATATTCTTCATGTCGTAGTTGAAGGTCAACTAAAGGTTATGCAAGTTTATGCTTATTAATTTATCTGGTTGCAGGGAGTTATGGAAGCAATTAGGATTAGCTGTGCTGGATATCCCACTAGAAAAACATTCGATGAATTTGTCGATCGATTTGGACTTCTTGCTTCAGAAGCATTAGACGGAAGGTATTTATGTTGTTCACCATTCTTATCAGGAACATTGGTTGTTAGTCTGAAAATGTTTACTTATTACATATTTTAATTATGCTAGTTCTGACGAGGCCACTGCTTGCAAGAGGATTCTCAAGAATGTTGGACTTGAGGGTTATCAGGTGACTATTACCATTGCGTTCAGTGATTTTAGATTGGCCACACAAGGATGTATTATCTTCTTCTAACTAATTTTACTGGTTATTTCCATAGATTGGTAAAACAAAGGTGTTTCTTCGAGCTGGTCAAATGGCAGAACTAGATACCCGTAGAAGTGAGATCTTAGGAAAGTCAGCAAGTGTTATTCAGTGGAAAGTCCGCTCCTATTTAGCACATCAAAGTTTCATTTCGCTTCGTTTGTCAGCTGTGCAGATTCAAGCTGCATGCAGAGGTCTCTTTTCATTGCATCTTGAGATATTAGCTCACAGTATGGGATTTGGGAATAATTTAGAATTTTGAAGTTCGATGGCTTGCTTTATACTGATTGCAGGACAACTTGCGAGGCAAGTTTTCGAGGGAATGCGGCGGGAGGCTTCTAGTCTGCTCATTCAAAGGTGTTTCCGGATGCATATTGATAGGAAGGCGTACAAAGAATTGTATGCCTCTGCTGTCTCTATCCAGACTGGTATGCGGGCAATGGCAGCTCGATGCGACCTACACTTTAGAAGAAGAACTGAAGCAACAATTGTCATTCAGGTAGGCGATATTTGGAGGAGCTATCATTAAAAGATATTTTGAACATTTTTTACTATTGTTGCTCATTCATTGTATCCAAAATTGTTATTGCTAAAATTAGTTTTATTTGTTTTGGTTTAAAAAACTTTTACAACTCTGATGAATTTGTGTTCTGCAGAGCCACTACAGGAAATACTCGGCACAACTTCATTTCACGAAATTAAAGAAGGCAGCAATTGCAGCACAATGTGCATGGAGAGGAAAAGTTGCCCGGCGAGAATTGAGGAAACTCAAGATGGTAATTATCTTTTTTTAAGATTAAGCCTTTGAATCGGTCAATAATATTGGCTTTAAGTAAAATTGTGAATTATAATTATCATATTACTGATATGACTCAGAGATAATAGTTATACAAAATGAGTTTATAATTCAATGAACATACAAAGGTTGATATATTCTATCAATCTTTGTATTCAGACTTTTATATGCATCAACAGTAAGAGTCGGCTTTAAATACATTTTGAATGAAAATAAGTATGTGCCTTTTTTTTTTGGTAAGGAGGGGGAATCATTTAAAATTATTAGATTTTATCACTAATTGACTTTGAGTTGACGATTAGCCTCTTTTGCTTTTCTCATTTAATGATTAAGATTTTTGCTATTTATTTTGTAGGCTGCGAGAGAAACAGGGGCTCTTCAAGATGCCAAAAATAAGCTTGAAAAACAAGTTGAAGACCTTAAATTGAAGTTGCAGCTGGAAAAACATTTAAGGGTAAATAAATGACTAAGATTTTGCTAGTACTAACTGTTAACATAAATTGTTTAACTGTGGTATACTGGAAATTTTCCCATAGTATGAATTAACCACTCCAAGTTCAGTAAAATATTGTAGTGGAATAACATTGATTTGGGTAACTGATAAAAAAGTTTTGTCTGCTTTTTCTGTCAAACATGTAAGAAAGTGGGAGCATAAAATTTAGTATCTGACGTTGCAATAAACTTCTAATGTTAAATATAGGTGGCCATTGAAGAAGCCAAAACAAAAGAAAATGTAAGATTACAGTCAGAGTTGCTAGAGATGCAATTTAAGTTCAAAGAAACGAAATCACTTCTTGAAAAGGAGCGGGAGGCTACAAAAAAATTAGAGGAGAAAGTTCCTGTCATACAAGAGGTTCCAGTTGTTGACCATGCTTTGTTGGAGAAGCTAAGTGGTGAAAACGAGAAACTCAAGGTGAGGTGGTTATGGGCTTAGATATTTGTGTTTTAATTTAAGTATTAGTATTTTGATAATATGCTTCAGATATTTTAGCATAAGATAGGTTGTCGCATTGTATTACTAATATACTTTATGGAAATTTTTACAGAACTTGGTGAGTTCACTGGAAAAGAAAATTGATGAAACAGAAAAAAGGTATGAAGAGGAAACTAAAGTTAGTGAAGAAAGGTTGAAGCAAGCTTTGGATGCAGAATCGAAAGTAATCCAGATGAAGACTGCCATGCAAAGGTATCGTTCATGATTAAGTTTTGCTAATATCAGAGAAATATTTAATTGAACATTACGCCTCTAGTTCTAACTGTTATCATCCAGTTACCCTTTTCTTGATGACAATTTTCATTTCTTAACTAATATTGATAGGCTTGAAGAGAAATTCGCAGACATGGAACTTGCAAAACATATTCTTCAAAATCAACCTCTGTTAAACCTGTCTGTGAAAACAACAGTGGAGAACCTCTCTACTCCTGTATCTGAGGTAATTTATAGCAGCTTAGTTGCGTAGGTCCTCATTCTTTGTTATTACACATGCGAATGTTTGAAATATTGGACATTGTAATATGCAGAAGTTGGAAAATGGTCACCATGCAGCAGAAGAACAGAATGACGTTGTAAGTACATTGTTTGCTACTATTTCTATGTCCCTTTTAACAAGTGGCTGTGTCTAGTGGAATATAAAATGATTTGTATTTCCAGGATGCATTTGTTACACCTGTGAAAGTGAAACAATCTGGCACCGAATCTGACTCAAAATTGAAGCGATCATGCAGTGAACGACGTCATGTATGTGCTTGAGCTTAAGAATTTAACTATGTTAATTTTCATAGATTTTTCATCAAAGGTATGATTCTCGATCTTAAAATCCGGTTTCACTGCAGGGGAGTTTCGACTCACTTGTCAACTGTGTTAGTAAAAATATTGGGTTCAACCATGGAAAGCCTATTGCTGCATTTACCATTTACAAATGTCTTCTCCACTGGAAATCATTTGAAGATGAAAGATCTAGTGTATTTGATCGCCTTGTCCAGATGATTGGTTCCGCAATTGAGGTGATTTTCCTACTCTATTCTGAGTTATACTTTGCGGGTCATGATAACACCGGGAAAAAAGCATAGGAAATAGATTATACTTAGAACAAGAGCATTTAATTATGGAATACACCATGCAAATATCCTATTAATTGTGACAATTTAAACTGTATTTCATGTTTTTATTTTTGACGAAATTGTATTTCATGTTAGTATGTCAATGTTAGACAATGAGTTATTTTGCAGCAATTGAATTGTTTGATGATGATCTATATTTATGGTGTTTTTCTTTTCTGGTATAATAAAGAAAAAGAATTCGAGCACTTGTTTAAAACAAGTTATTGGGATTCTTCAAACATACTCCCTTTTTTACCTTGCAGGATCAAGACGACAATGATCTTATGGCCTATTGGATGTCAAATTTATCAGCATTATTGTTTTTACTTGAACAAAGCCTGAATACAGGGAATTCAACAAATTCAACACCGGTTGGAAAACCACCTAATCCAACATCCCTCTTTGGAAGAATGACTAAGGTAACGGATATTTCTTACTATATTGTTTATTTTCTAATTTCCAATAAACACTTTAAAATTAAAATATTCCTCTTATCCATTTCAATGGTAAACTGCAGAGTTTTCTTTCATCCCCTTCTTCTGTCAGCTTTGTTTCCCCTTCATCAGTGGTTGTACGCAAGGTAGAGGCTAAATACCCAGCTTTACTTTTCAAGCAGCAGCTCACAGCCTATTTGGAGAAAATATATGGCATCATTCGAGATAACTTGATGCAGGAGTTAACGTCGGTTCTTGCACTATGTATCCAGGTGTGTTGAAATCTGTTGGAAACGCATGTTGGTTTTAAACGAACCGTTGCTTATCTGATATAGTTCTCATAGTATGTTTCCATGCACATTTTTTCCTTCTGGAGATCTTTTCTAAAAACTTCAAAAGGATTGAGTCTACATTTTGTTTTTTAATCAGATTTTTTTATTCTTTATGTAAACCTCATTTGTGATATACAGGCACCAAGAACATCAAAGGGAGTGTTACGCTCTGGCCGATCCATTGGTAAAGATTCCCCAATGGCTCACTGGCAGAGTATTATTGCATCCCTCAACGCCCTCCTATGCACATTGAAAGAGAACTTTGTAAGGAACTAACTTTGCGATTATTAACATTTGAAAATTATGCAATTACCTCCATGTTAGCCTTGTCTATTCAATTTCTAAAATTTCTGAAAGAAGATAAATAATCTTTTGGGTTTCAGGTGCCTCCAGTTCTTATCCGAAAGATCTTCAGTCAAACATTCTCTTATATCAATGTGCAACTCTTCAATAGGTAAGTGGTTTTGATACACTTCCTTTAACATAAAATAAGTTTTGTTGCATTATAATGTTTTTATCTTATAAATATGGATGTTAACAATTTACCCCCTTAAAATGGTTACTAGTCTTCTAGTTCGTCCTGGTTGTTGCACATTCAGCAATGGGGAATATGTGAAAGCCGGACTAGCTGAATTAGAGCTGTGGTGCTGCCAAGCAAAGGAGGAGGTAATTTGTTTTCACTTTTACTAAAACATTTTAATCTTGATTTCGCACACATGTTACTTGGTATATTGAATTGGTGATTGCATGCCATTTTAGCACTGGTGTACACAATTTTATTAAAGCTCCAAAATAATTTCCTTAAATTTGCAGTATGCAGGAACGTCTTGGGATGAACTTAAACACATCAGACAGGCTGTTGGGTTCTTGGTAAGTGTGTCTCGCTTGATAATATTATTATCTTTTCATCCTAATTCTTTTTTATTTTATTTACCTGATTCATATATACCCCTAGAGGCCAAGACTATGATGATTAGGTTTGTTTACAACATGAATCCAGTAAAGCTAAATGACTTGTCATTTGCTTCTACTTTTAGATCAAGCTTGACTGGATTTAAATGCCTATACTCATTTGAAGTAACCACCCTTGATTTCCTCGGACAAAATGCCTCTTGTATTAGCTTTGGAAAGAAAATCATGCTCAATAATATTACAATGAGACTATGATTCAGATTTTAAACCTAAATTTACTCAATTAGCAACATGGATATCATTAGTTCTAGAGTGAAAATTGACACTCAATAAAATTACTGATATAAAATATCTCTTGGATTAGTTCTTGTAAACACTTGAAAAATGCCATCAAGCCTATATATATCTGTGCAACCTGCTTCATCTTTACAGTACAGTGTAGAGGTGGCAATGGAAAATTGGAAATCCTGGAAACTTTTTTGCCATATCTGTGCAACCTGTTTCTGTTTCTTTCTTGATGCATGTTTCTTTTAAATGAAATAATCAAAATCTAACTTTTTGTTTTAATTACTTCTGCATCACATTTTATATTACAGGTTATTCATCAGAAGTATAGAATTTCCTACGAAGAAATCGTTAATGATTTATGCCCTGTAAGTCTATACGTCTCAAACTCCACACGTGCCGTGCATGAGACCTGCATCCCTCATTCATACTCTCGCCATAATACTCTTAACATTTATACTCTTGCCATCACAGTTTTTATAGTTCATACGTTTTTTCTCACATATTTTTCCCGGTTTTTCTACAGATTTTGAATGTCCAGCAGCTGTGTAAAATATGTACACTTTATTGGGATGATAATTACAATACACAAAGTGTATCACCACATGTAAGTTCGAGTCTATATTTTTCCAATCATGGCAAAAAGTATCCTTGAAATGCCAATTGTTTGATGCATTTAAATCTTTCTTCAGGTCCTTGCTAGCATGAGAATGGACTCCAATAATCCTAATGGCGATTCTTTCTTGTTGGATGACAGTTTCAGGTGAGAGTACTTGACGGTGCTTTACTATAACACATGCTCCAAGCCTGCTCTATTTGAACAAACAACTTAATTAAGCGCTCATACCATAAATCTTAATCATATAAATGCTTATACATAATATGTATTTTTTACAGCATTCCCTTCTCAGTGGATGACCTCTCCGCATCACTACAAGAGAAAGACTTCTCAGACATGAAACCAGCAGATGAACTTCTTGAGAATCCAGCATTCCAATTTTTAAACGAGTAACCTTACCATACTTTTTTTTTATTGTGCCATTTGGTGCTTGTAAATAAGCCCTTTTATATTTACTCTTTTACATTTTTTTCCTTTAAAAGTAAATTATAGTTCATTTTCTGGCCATATCCCTGCATCATGAGTCTTGATGCTGCCCCAGCTGTATAGTTATTTCCCCCCATTCTTTTGTTAGCATTCATTTGTTAGCATTCAACTATAATATATATAGCAATGAAAAGCATGAATTAGAACAATAGTGGTTATTTTCTTATTATTGGCTCCTATTTGAACCGATCTGGTTTTTTTCACTAGCATGTTTAAGGATGTTTTTGGTGGATAATCTGTAAGTATCTCTGAAGACGCTCTTTAAATCCTGAAATATGACTCAGGTGAATTCTAGAATCCACCTCGAAATGTTAGTAAGAAATTCCAAAGATTTGAAACATTTTGTGGCCAACTCATTTGAATTCACATGGCACAAGCCTAATAAAAGGGTTTGGGACCAAGTTCCTATTATATTGGACCACCCTATACTCTTGTCCAAATTTGCAGGCATTACAACTGTAACCTTACTATTGAACAATTGTGGATTTGGATAAGCTTTGGTTACAAGAAAACGAGTAAAGGAGTTTATTCCAGGTTATGATTTCTGGTCCATGCTATGTGGAAGTGGAAGTGTTACTTCACCTGAATTTCTCACCAATTGTTGGTCCATTTTTTTCCAAGGGCTACAAGGTCCTTACCCTAGACCTAAGCCTATATAAGCTAATTGTGGAAATTCTATTACCATTCACATTCTCATCATAATTTTCAATGATTTGGTATTGTTAGATTTAATTCACTTTAATACGGGTCAATGATTAATATCAATTGCTTGGTTCTATTCTCAATTTTAGCCTATAAGCTCTTAAGAAATAAATAAAAAAAAAAATTCTAAAATAGTTGTCACTTTTAATCTTCATTACAATATTAATATTAATGATTTTTTATGAACTTTTTCTATCTTGAATTATATGATCTTTTGACTTTACAATTTAGAGAGTAAAATTATTCTTCAATAAAAAAGAAATTATAAAATATCTTATAAAATTATTCTTATTAATGATATTAGAAAAAAAACTTAAAAAATGGATAGAAAAGTGTAATAAATAATAAGAGGCGTGATGAAAAAATAAACATTAAACATTAGTATTTTATTGGAATTGTAAATAACGTATAATTCTTTTTAAAAAAACTTAAAATTGTAAAATAACTTAGAATTTTTTTTAAAGAACTTATAATTTGAGATGGAGATAGTATTATAATAGAAATATACCAATATCCTTAAGAATCTTAAATTCAAATTTTGAATCTTTGCATACTATGTAAAATTATTTGTTAGACTTGTACGTATGAAATGGTATCGAAGTTAATCAAACAGTGGATACATTTTAATGTGTATTTTGTTTGTGATTTTGCTGTTTGTTTATGTCTGGTTACAATGTTTATTTGATTTAGCTTAACCAATCATCATCGATTTAAACGTAGGAATCTTCAATCAATGATTTTGGGATCATGGATGTTTTGTTAAGCTAGTTGCTTCAGTGCAATATGAGTTCCAATTTTGGGGTCCATAATGTTCTAAGCATTCCGACATGCATCTTTGAATATATTTATTTTAGTCATTTCTTAGACTAAATTGAGGAGCAATTGTTTTTTTTTTATATAAAAATTTAATTCGAAAATGTATTTTTGTATAAAAAAAATGTGTTTAAAGATTCATCTCCATGTTGTGATATAATTTAAGTTAGTTATTTGATTAACAAGTTAAATACTCCCTCCGTCCTATTTAGAATAAAAGAGTGTCTCAAAATAAATGATCCATTTTAATTTCCAATGCATCTTTTTCAATTTTACTCTTTGATTAATATTACTTTCATCATTTTCAATACATGATATGAGTACTTTAGTAAAACTCTCTCTCTCTCTCTCTCTCTCTCTCTCTCTCTCTCTCTCTCTCTCTCTCTCTCTCTCTCTCTCTCTCTCTCTCTCTCTCTCTCTCTCTCTCTCTCTCTCTCTCTCTCTCTCTCTCTCTCTCTCTCTCTCAATTATTCATTTTTCTTAATCTGTGTAAAATGGTAAAATGGGTCACTCATTGTGAGACGGAGGAAGTAATTTGTTATGATTAACTACTTGGGTTACAAGTAACATATTGTATAAATACTTATGTAGATAACTTAATAAAAAAATCAATATAATTACTTTTCATTCTCTTAATCTCTCTCTCATTCCTTTCCCATCTAAAGTGCTTATGCACTAACAAATTAGTATCTTGAGCTTTTGGTTCGTTCTTCTTGATCGGAAATTTAAGAATCACACGTTGGTGGTCGTATTTTTAGGGATCATGAATCGTATTCGTTGCAAAGATAAATGCTAGCAATGATGTTCACAATTCTCTTCCAATTCTTGATGGAAAAAAATGAATCTGATGGAAAAAACATATGCACTCATTGTTTGATTTTCATGAAACTCTATGAGTGGTTACTAATGGCTTTCCTTAGCTTTCTAACAATGAAAATGATGCTCAGAGAATCACTCACAAGGTAGCCAAGAAGAAAGATGACAAGGTTGCATTTTATATTCAATATGTAGTAGATACAATGAATTTTGACCGGATTTATCATGGTGAATCGACGAAGGAGGCATGAGATATTCTTGTCAAGTATTATAAGAGTGGTGAGAAGGTTAAAGTTGTCAAGTTGCATACACTATAAAGGCAGTATGAGTTACTACAGATGGGAGAAGATGAAAAGATTGTAGGCTATGTCTCAAAGGTGCAAAATCTTATTCATCTCGTGAAAGGTTGTGGTGAAGTCCTAACTGATAAGATGAAAGTTGAGAAGGTAATGTATACATCAACCTCTCACTTTGATCACATTATCGTAGCCATTCAAGAATCCAACAATCTTGAAATCTTGAAATTGGAAGATTTGGTTGGTTTGTTGGAGGCATATGAGTTAAGGATTTTAGAAAGGAAATGGGTTCAAGATTCAATACAAGCATTGCAGGACCAGACATGGAAGAAACATGGTGGTTTCGACAAGTTCAAGGTCAAAGGAGACAAGAGTCAGAGCAAGAAGTCTTGGGTGAACTCTCAAAAGTATAAGGTTGATGATAGAGCTTTTGAATCCTCGAAAAAAGGAGAAGGAACCTCATATCAGAAAGACAAATAGGAGAAGAAAAGCGTGCAATGCTAAAATGGGGTCACTAGGCCAAAAATTGCTGGTACAAGAAAGACAAAGGATCGACAAAAGGCAAGGATGGTGAAGGAGAAAACCTTGCATGTCAAGATGCAGATGATTCTGAAGGTATGTTGCTTATGATTGCTGTAGCAGATGAGCATGTCGACTCCAAGATCTGGTTCCTCGACATAGGTTGCTTGAATGATATGATTGGTCGAATAATGTGGTTAGCAGATTTCTACGATTCGAAGAAGAGCAAGGTTAGGTTTGAAAATAATATCTGATTGCAAGCAAAAGGTACTGGAAGCATAGTTATTCAAAGGCTTAATAGAGCAAAAGCTATGATCAAATATGTGATCTATGTACTTGGAATGAAGTGCAATATGCTAAGTGTTGGACAACTGGTCGAAAAAGGCTTCTCAGTGGTTATGAAAGATGGAGCCTTATAATTGTTTGAGACCCATAATAATTTGGTTTTAAAACATCCTCTGTCGAAGAATAGGACATTCTAGACCATGATCAGTTCGACTGAGGTACAATGTTTAAAAACAGTTGTCAACCACAAGTATAGCTGGTTGTGGCATTTGAGGTTTGGCCATTGAATTTTAGGTCACTAAATCAACTGATTACTCAAGATATGATAACTGGTATACCGAGTCTTGTGATTACCGACAAACTCTCTGAAAGTTGCTTAGTAGGGAAGCAATCCAGAAAGTCTTTTGTTTAAACTATGCCAATAAGATCCTCCTGTATACTGGAAGTAGTATATTCAGATGTATGTGGCCCATTTGAGGATCATGCAATTGGTGGAAATAACTATTTTATCTCATTTGTCGATGAGTATAGTCCAAAACTTTGGATCTACGTGATCAGGCGTAAAGACAAAGCATTTTCAATCTTTAAGAGATTTAAAATGTTTGATGAAAACCAAAGTGGAAAGAAAATCAAGGTTCTGCAAACTGATGGAGGTGGCGAATACACATCCAAGATATTTTAAGAGTTATATGTAGAACATGGTATCTATCATAAGGTAATTGCTCCTTACATGCCTTAACATAATGGAATAGTTGAAAGAATAAACAAGACTATATTGAATATGACTAGATGCATTTTATTGCAGAAAAACTTTCCAAAATCCTTATGGGGTGAAGCAGTCACCATTGGTGTTTATATTATGAATAGATGCCCTACTAAACAATTGAAGAACAAGGTTCTTGAAGAAGTACGAAGTGGAAAACGACCATCAGTGAGTCATCTTAAGGTGTATGGCTCTATTTGCTACAAGCATGTTCCTGATGCAAGAAAAAGGAAGCTTGATGATAAAAGTGGACCGATGATCCTGGAAGGATATCATAAGACTGTAGCATACAAGCTATTCAATCCAATCAATGATAAGACCGTGATGAGTTGAGACATTGTGATTGATGATAACTCTATCTGGGATTGGAATTCAGATTGAGTTATGACTTTTATAAAGAAAGTAGGGAGCACAGAGAAATTCCAACTAATGACGTTCTAGTCACAATTGAAGTCTAAGTTTCCAACAGAGAGAGTGTGGATAACACAATCCAAAGACCTCAAAGAACCAGAGTTCTACCAACAAGGCTGCAAGGCTTTAAAGTTGTTGGTGATGATGAAGTCACACCAGATGGAGATTTTATTTATTTTGCTTTACTTGCAGGATCTGAACCAATCAATTATAGTGAAACCTTAAAGGATAAAAAATGGAATGTAGCTATGGTCAAAGAGTTATAAGCGATTGAAATAAATAATACATGGGATCTAGTCGAA